ACAAACGGAAAATTTGTACACACACGCACACCCACACACATAGGGTAATAAAAAAAAAAACTTGTGACACTAAAATAATTAAGATCTTTAAGTATATGTATAGCACTTAAAAATCAACAACAAAATAAAAAATAAAGACCCTAAAATATGCTGAATATAAGCAGACAACTCACAAAAGAATTAAAAGAATAACAAATATATTCTTTTTCTTCGTGATGACAGATATAAACAATGAAATGTTGTATTTTGCTCATCAAATTGGAAGTGTCTGGAACAAAGAGTCCCTACTGGGGAGCAGAGGCTTTTTAATTTATTCTTGGTGAAAAGTGAAACCGGCTCCTACTTTCTAGGAGGGTAGACTATGTACCCAAACCCTTAAAAAGAAGCACACTTAACCAAAAGTTCCTCCTAACCAGATATATTTTTCAAGATGCCTAATATGTTCATAATATTTACACTATTTATATTGCAAAAATAGTATAACAATAATAAAAAATAACAATAGAAAGCCACTCAAATGATGCCACAGAATAATAATGACATGGTAAGATTGTTCATAATATGTGAACAATAAAAAAGCATATATGAATAATGGTATGCTCTTGATTTTGTAAATTTACACACACACACACACACACACACACACACACACACACACACACACTCACAACTAACTGGATGGATAAACCCCAAAATGCTACTGATGGTTATCTTCAAATTTGTGAGATTGCAGGTATATTTTATTCTCTTTGTTAGGCTTCTTTGTGTGTGTGCTTGTAAAATCTAAATAATTTTATGTAGATTTAAACTGACTCAATTATTTGTTGAAAAAAATTGTTGTTCTTCTAATAGGAAAGACAAAATGTAAGGCAATTACAAGGAAATTGAGTATTTTATCTAGGTCTCCAAATATTCCTTTCTCTGAAAAGATAAAAAATATTCTTACAGTTCTTCAACCACATCGTCCTTAAGCTCAAGCATCAAGACACAGTTGGTTGGAAAAGAGTTGCTGGCAATCTTCAATTTTAATTTAGTTCCTGGAAATCTGCACTTTTAACAGCTGGGAAAATGGACAACTATTAGTGGATTCACTTTGTCTTATGAACCTATGCCTAAATCGCTCAAATTTAGCTATTGGAAAGTTACTGGTATGAGCAGAGGAAGGTTTAGAATTTAACAATGTCAACAATATTTTTAAATATCTCAAGTTTATCTTCCCCCAAGGAGATGAGAAATAAAAACTAAACCTTGGCAGCTCCAGGGCATTTTCTATAACTAGACACATATAACTCTCCTGGAATGGAATGGATATTTAATCCATTTTCCTTCCCTGTGCTTTTAGTCTATAACAGCATCCAACCCTTAAAGTATTTCGATGGCTGTTCATCAGCAATGGCACCAGTCACAGATTAGCCTGGAACAGCCTCAGGGCTGGAGAAGCAGAGGTTCCCAATTCCCAAAGGCCAATCCACATCTGGAAGGATCAGGATATATTTCTGGATATCTCAAGGCTCTTTGAAAGCCATGTGATCTGGGGTAGGAAACTTTACTTCCCCATACCTCAATTCCTCATCTGAAAAATAGGGATAATAATGCCAACCCTGGAGAGTTACAAAAAGGATTAAACGTTACCAAAGTGTGTGTGTGGGGGGGGGCACGAATGGCTTTGGGGAAGATGGCGAAGATACAAAAATGTCCTACCATTTCAATAATGCTACTCTTAAAAAATTAGTGGTTCTATAGCAGAATGAGATTTCAGTCCTCTCTGGAACCAGCTGTCACCAGCATCCTCTACCAGTTAATGAGTGGTGGGGATAACTTCCCCATCCCTCCCAAACATTGACAGCCACTGGATGGTGTTGACAAAGGGCAGCACAGTAAGCCTCCTAACTAAAATCAAAATCTAATGTAATTTGAGGAGGAGAATGATTTATGCCTCTGTTCTAAGTCTTTCCAAGGACCATTTCTTCAGAAAGAATAAGAACCACCATTAAAACAAATTTCCTCCTCCAGAGTAAAATCATTGATGGCAGAAAAAGCTCAAGGTGATAGTTTTTTCAAACATGTAACACAAGCTGTATTTCCCCTTCATTGATTTTTCTGGTGATTCTTCCTCCTCTCACTCTTGTCCTCTACTTTTAGGTGGCACCTGATATTCTGCTGCCTCCCCTTTTCTCTCCATGTTCACTTTAATATTAACTTTCTCCTCTTCTTTATACTTCTGCAGAGTAAATTGCAGATCTAGTTAAAATGAGGGTCTTTTGAACTAAGATCATCCCCACCCAGGAGAAAATAAGCTATCAGTGAGAAGGATAAGCTTGGAGAGGTATTTTGGGGAGTTTTCTGTGTTGGGATCATGCCCATTGGCTAAGGGTAGGAGGCATCAAGAAATATTCATTAAATTCGTAACCCTATTACGTTAGGAAATGCCCAACCAATTAATGCAAAACTTGAAATCTTTGGGATTATAATTATTTGTTACTTATGTAAACTATGGGAAGATTAAGAAAAGGGGGCAGGCCCAGAGTTGTTCCAAATGGCTATCATCAAAAAAAAAGCCATTCTTCCTCCATATGCATCTTTCTCTAACATTTTTCCAAAGAAATGAGAAGACTCAAAGTTCATCCATCTATATTCTTTCAAATAAATTTACATCCATCAATATTTATTAAACATTTATTATAAACTTAACACTGACCTGGTCAATACTGAGGATGAATAAAGAAGAAGGTTGAAAACATGGCCATGTTTCCAATGTTTGATTGTTGGTTCCATCACTTACCAGTTGTATTAGTTTTCTGCGGTTGCTATAACAAATTATCACACACTAGGTAGTCTAAAATGTCATAAATAATATCCTCATGATTCTGTAGGCCAGAAGTCTAAATTCAAACTATTGGCAAGATAGCTTTTTTTTTTTGTTGTTGTTGTTGTTTCATGGTGGCTATGAGGGAGAATCAATTCCGTAACTCTTTCCTTCTTTCTGTTGATGGTTGGTGATCTTTGGCATTCTTCATCCTGTACATGTACCACTCTAATATCTGCTTCCATGGTCATCTTCTTTTTGTGTGTCTTAAACCTTCATCTCTTTTATTTTATAAGAATATAAGCCATTGTATTTGGCTTTCTATATACAGATCTTTAGCTTAATTACATCTACAAAGAACTTATTTCCAAATAAGGTCTCATTCACAAGTGCCAGGATTAGAGTTTGGACATATCCTTTGGCAACTGCTATTCATCTACTACACCAGCTGTGTGTCCTGGTTAAGTTATACAACCATTAAGCCTCAGTTGTATAGGATGGAAACAATAATAACAGCAGAATCATAATCAAGATCAAATAAGGTAATCTATAAATATAAATATATATATATATATATTAAATGTACCTAGTATATTTCTTGTTTTATAGTAATCACTCCATAATTGTTAGCTGCTGGCATCGCTAGCATCTTATTATTTCACTATTAAGCATCCTGCAGAATTCAGAGATTTTAAAATGTAAATCCTGCCCCCAAGAGTCTTATAATCCAGAACAGGTTGGATGCACATTGACTTTGGACATGGCTTTAACTTTTATGACTCACAAAGTCCTTAATATCATTATGCACATAGTTGCTGAGCCCCTAAGATCACAGGGAAAAAAAACTGCTGGTTGTTTCCTGAGGTGCTGATGTAAAGACTGTCTTCTTTTCCTCTCTTCAAAATCAATATGCTTGCCAGGTGTGGCGCAAGCCCATACCCCAGGTACTCAGGAGGAAGAAGGATCACAATTTCAAGCCCAGCCTGAGCAACTTACCAAGACCCTGTCTCAAAATAAATTAAAGAAGAAGAGGAGGAGGAGGAGGAGGAGGAGGAGAAGGAGGGAGAAGAAGAAGAAAAAAAGGGGGATTGGGGATTAACTCAGTGGTAGAGCACCTCTGGGTTCAATCCTCAATACCACAAAAAAGAAAAAATAATAATAATAAAAATAAAAGAAAGAAAAACATTAGTATGCTTTTCTATCACTCTTCTAGACTTGCCCAAGGGCATACCAAGTAATAAGGGTACTATTGCTCTGGGATTTCTTAGAAGATGCTCATTCTGAAATTTTCCACACTGACAGATGAAACATCACTTCACATACCTGGCTCTGAAGGCTGTATGAGACTCCACAGATCTTCCCCACCTGCTCTGGTTTCCTACCGCTCTTCCATACTCTGATACATTAGAATATGTGAAAAGACAAACCTAAGACAACATGTAGGATTCATCTTTCTCATGTTAGCCACCACCAGTAGAAGTCAGCATTGTCACAAAATGAGTGTGAATTTCAAAGGAATAAAATACTGAGTATTAATGGACAGAACATCTACCACAGCAATGTGTTGGACATTCCAAAGAAAATGACATGCAAATAGAAACAGCATGCAGCAAAGTCTAACTAAGCCATGTTTCTTTGTCATTGAAAAACCTCTATACTTATTCTCAGTTTAATTTCCTTCTTAGTCCTGTATTTGTTCATTTACCTATAGATAGCAGGAAAGAAGAGGTTTTATCCAAATTACTTAACAAGATACATATCTTAAATTTATGGGTATTTAGAGAGTTTCAACTTTTCTTTCCATTTACAAGCAATGTCACATATTTAGTCAAAAAAGTTGTGTATATGACCCTTATATATGCATTAACCTTATTTTAAACAAGTAAGGATTAATTTAAATGAACTTTACTGAGAAGGGTAATAACCCTCGTAAACTTAACAAAATAAGGGGTTTGAACTGAGTGGAAGAAAAGTTTTTTGCTTTTAATTTTTAAACAAAAAGAACAATCATGTAAGGAAACTCATCTGTCACACTGTGAACTTTGAAAAAATTTGAACATGAAAAGATCCTAGGAGACTTTTGAATAAAAAATAAATAAAAAGAAATATTTTAATGTCTTTCATCCATAGATGTGAAGACAAGAGAGAACAAAAACCATTTGCTTTGTTAAAAAACCATTTGTATTCAGCTTCATGGTTTTTGTTTTTTTTTTCATGAAATCTGCTGTATTTGGGGCTGATAGGTAAATGAGAAATTACTCAAGCACATGTAAAACGCAGATGCCAAGAATAGCCATTCACCATTTGTCCTGATCTGGATCTCCCATGGCTCTCTGGAGGAAAGGATTGTTCCACTCAACTCTGGGCAGTGTCAACACTATTTGTTGAGCTGACCCAAAGCACAAAGCATGGAGTGTAGATGAGTTGACAATGCAAGGGGTCAAACAAATGCTTTGGTGTTTTCCTTATGGGTGCATAGAAGTGAATGAATGCTGGCATTCAGATGGAAGTTGAAGTCCAAGATGGTAGCAGAATGAGTGTGAGATCACAAAATACAAGGGAAAGAGGATTCAGTTCCAAATACACAGCCAGAAGTGGGTTTGTCACAATTGATTTGTGTAACACCAGAGCCTTGCCCTCATAGTGAAGTCAAAATAGACCTTTGCTGTATGTTCCCTTCTTGAAAGTCACTCCCGAATGGCTATTTAACACTTCTCTTCTAGAAAATAAAATGGGAAAGGATCACTGAATTCATGTCAAATCAAATGATTCATGTGCAAGTAGAACCAACCAAAGAAGCCCCTAGCATTTAAAATGTTCAAAAAGCAATCACAAAGCCATTTGACATAGTTTATCAACATGTTGGCCTTTTGGAAATCCTGGGTAATGTTCTTATGAGATTCAAAGTGAGAGGCATATAGTCCATCTACCCTTTTTTTCTAGACTTGGAAGTTCCTCTTCGAATCTTTAAAGAGCAGAACAGAGGAAAGATATGGCAACAGAAGACAAGATGAAGTGTTTTTACTCTTTTGTGGATTCAGCAGGTCTGAGATGAAGGCAAAAAACATAGAGATCAAGGGACAGACATTTTCCTCCATCTTATCACACTTCAGACCCTTGAGAAGTTTGAGGACGAATGTCAATCACATCCTCCATGAAGTGTTGTCACCATAGGCCTCCATCTGGAACTTCAGAAGGTCACAGGCTTGTCTCAGATATATGTATCAGCCTGAGAACTGTAGCATTCTGGCAGATATCAAGTCTAGGCCATTTGTGTGTTAATCCATTTTTCATACTCTGTCTCACACAAGAGTCCTTTTTCACTTTTCCCTCATTGCCAACAGGATGTGTAGAGTTATGGACAATTATTCCTTTGGGGTAGGTCTGGAAAATCAAAGGAAAAATAATTTAAAGTAATATTAAATTAGAGAATATTCTTAGAATGGGTAAAGGCCCTGAGCTATTTTACTACCATGGATTTAAACCTTTCTGGAGATCAATGAATTCCCCCAATAATATACAAGTCCAAAGCTATTTGGCAATTGCACTTCTAAAATGTGATGATAGCTTGCATCTTTGTTCACACAGATCATATGCCTTTCAGTTTCAAGGACTTTTTGGAAGAGAATAGTGACACAAAATGCAACATGGACAAGGAATTCAAATTGCTTTAGACACTGCTCTTTGAAGATTCAACCTGGGAAGTGCCAGGGTCTGACACTCCATATTTCTTCCTTTGATCTGATTCTTCCAAATGTGATCCATGTACTGGTAAATTTCCCTAGTATCTCTGGTAAACTTCAAAACAAACCACTGGCCCTAGTATTTGGGCACTGGCTTTTCCTCATTGTTTTTGTGTTTAAAAAGAGAGAGAGAGAGAGAAAGAGAGAGAAGAAAGAAAACTCACTGGGCATTCTCCATATGGTTTCCATATTGTTCCTTAATCATTTGGTTTGAAAGTAAACCGAAGGGGAATGAGGAGTTAAAGTGCTTGAGGTCAGGGTGAGAACTTCAGACTCATGTAAGCCAGTGTTCATGTGTAGAGCATTTAATCCAACTCAGGAACATATGCAGAGCAGCTGTCTTATATAGCCCATGTTCACAATAACCTTTCATTACATGTCACCACAGAATGAGAAACAGATATGCATGCATGAGTGGGGTGTGTGTGCGTGTGTGGATGTGTCACTTGCAGGGAATCTGATGAAGCTTAAATGGAAAACAATGACAAATGATATGAACCTGTTTTACAGCAATATAATTATGAATATTCACCAGGGATACATGCAGAAATTACTGAATTAATGAGTCAGAAAGCTGGTTGTTCTCATATATTTTGGGAAATAGAAATTCAGTCCTTCTGTCTTCAAAGCAGGACAAAACACCTATATGATTCAAAATTCCAACCAAGTTGGAAATGCATGACTTCGCTGAAGGATGATGTTGCATGCCTGCTGAAGGTCACGTGGGACATGTTCACTTCCCACTCTCCCTCAGCCTTGCCTTTTTTCTAGCAGAGACTCACTACTCAAGAACACATAGCTTCCAGATACATTGCCCCAAGTGAACCCACCCTCTGCTTTTGGAATAGTCAGGAACTTTAACTTGTTCTATGGACATTTTCTATGAGATGTTAAGTCATATTCTATGAGATGAGAATCTCACAGACTAAAAATGTGGGAAACACCTGATGAAACATGGTTTTTCCATACAGGAGTCCTCTGCATCTTTAATTTACCAATGTATATTATTGATTGGGAGAGAACAAACAAGTTTGTTCTGGCTGGATTTTTCCATAAGTTCAAACAACATTTTCAAAATTCATAAAATCAAATTGAATTGCCTTGCATGGAGTATTTTTCTTACCACTAAAAATATTGGGAAGTTTTGAGTGAGCCCTCTCGAGTAATAGGGCAGCAAATTTTGGTCACTCATGCAAAGCATCCTTCCTCTTCCACCTACACAACAACTACGGAGCAATTAGAAGAAAACATTCATTCAGTTTTGAGGAATCTGACCCAAGCTATTGCTGTTTTCTTCCTGCTGATTCTTTTTGGACATATTACTTTACTCCTTTTTATTGAAGTGCTATCACTTGCTGTTATTAAAAAGTAAGAAAAAGTCTTTCAAAGACTGCCTATCATCAGTTATGTCAAGAACACCTGGATATATCTAAGTAATGTCACCAAAATTAAAAGGAAAGATACAAATCTTGTACTAAATACCTAGACTATGAGTCAATCGGGAATTGAACGTCTTGAGTTGAACCAGGCAGAGAAATGACTAAACGAAAGGACAGCCAAGCTACTGATAGTAAATTACAGCTGGAAATTAAATCAGGCTCTTAAATTTAAGATTTTAAGATTTTATTTTGGTGTGCGGAAGGAATTGTGCATGTGGGAGGTTGGTGGGTTTATTATTGTGTAAAGGGCAAAAGTTTAAGGTTTTCTATGCATAAAGAAACAAACTGGAAAAGCATAGTAAAATAAATGGAGAGTGGGGACTACATTCAGGTGGAAAAATAGAAAATTTAAAAACAACTTACAGAACCCAAAGGTCTGCAAAAAGAATAGTCTATGCCTGGAGAACATGTCTAAGACACGCGTAACTTCATCACTATGCAGATTGTCGTACAAAATTTCTTGAGCATTCTAATAAATATGCCCAATGATAGCATTTTAAGCTACATAGAAAATACCAAAGCCCAGACATATTTCAATGCCAGTCTCTGGGAAGGCTGGCTTAAGGCAAGCCAGCATTCTGGAACACCTGGTTGGCTGGCAGACTTTCCTTGATGGCAGCATTTTGGGACCAATTGGGGGTTTATTTCCACCTCTCTGATGCTTTCATATGGTAAAAAAGCAATCAAAGAATACTGGCTTTATTTTTTGAAGTACTGGTTTTGATCCACCTAAAGGAAATGGTGGGGGGATGGGTGGAGGGAAGGAGAGTAATGCGTTTTGCAGCTTCAAATCAAACACTGTTGGAAAAATGTCCAGAAAGCCATTCGGAGTGAAAATATTTACTTTCTGGCTAAATAGCCAGTACCTTTTTATTGCAAAATGGAAATAAACAGTGTTGCTCATTTAGACCAAAAAATGGCAATCTACAAATAACTCAAATCCCAAAATAAAGGTATTGCCCAACAGACTAGGACATAATTCACTAAGGTCTTGACTTCAGAGTTTCATCATTGGTTACGGCACATAGTGGGCTGGGTTTTGATTAAGTAGAAAGTTTCAAACATTCCCAAGCGGACACTGGAGAAGGGGATGGGTCTTAGCCAGCGTGATCCTCGTCCTTCACTCTGTTTATGGAAGAGATGTCCTTCTTCCTCACAGTGGCTAGGATACTGGAAACCCACTTCCAGACCCAGTTCACTGACAAAAATGACAGGAAGTCACACGGAAATTAACTTAAGTGAAAGTGTGCCATTTAATGTCTAATACATTAGCAGAGAGAGAATGTGTAAAAAAAAAAATTGCCAAGTCAATAACACAATGAGGAGGTAGGAGCTGGCTAAGAGAAAGGTAGGAATAGTAATGGCAGTCATCCATTCATTCACTTAGCAGTTTATTGAGTATCTACTACATGGGGTGCTACAGATATAAAGAGGAATAAAAAATGATGACATAGCAAGGAAACAACAGACCTACTACTCCAGATACTCATGTGTACAGTGTGATATCTTACATCCAAATAGTACTTTAAAGGTGTGAAAGGCTTTTAGCCACATTATCCTACTGATTTCTAACCCCCTTGTACATATAGATCAGGCAGGCAATATGTGAAAATACAAAATCAGAAAGGTTGCATTACTTTAAAGCCTCTACTGATAAAGGAAAGAATAATTGGGATTTGATCTCTGCTCTCTCGTGCCACCCTCCATATGCCTAATAAACCAAAACTAAATAAGAAATATATTCATGTTGAATAGGCCAAAAAAAAAGAAAATAGCTGTCCCTCTGGATCTCATACCTTTTGAGTTCTCTCTTGCCTTTCAAACTCAGCCATGAGTGGAATGAGCCAATGATACCCTAACTACAAGTTAGATCAAGACTTCCTTAGAGCAAACAGCACCATGTGAAATTAGTCACAACTACTAATATAAAAATTCCCATAAAAATTGGTAAATCCAAATGGGAACATTGCCAATTAATCCACCCACGAAAGCAATATTTAGTAAGAATCAGCTATGTTCTAGGTGTCCTTCTGTGCATAAGGGCTCTGTATGGGAAGAAGAAAGCCAAGCTCCATTTACATGACGAGGAAGCAATGAGCAAGGAGAAAATATGCGAGATAATTACAGTTAGGGTAAGTGCTTGACAGAACAGTCAGATGAGGTAATGGAATGAAGGGGGCACTGGGGCTTTGGATCAGGCAGTCAAGGGAAGGTCTTTTCGAGTAAAGGACATTTAAGCTGTCAAGAGGTTTCCAGTACATAGAGATATGGGGCAGAGTTGTTTAGCCAGGAAAAGCAGCAAACACAAAGGTTTAACGTGGAAATGAGTCCCAGATCCCACCTAGAGTATGGTGACCGAGGGGCGGTCCTGGCAATTGAAAGTTAGAAGCCAACTTTGGTAAAAAGATGGCATCTTTGTCCTAAGTACCGTGAGAATCCACTAGAGAATTTTTAGTTAAGAGAGTATTCTGATTTTAGCTAGTGGATTATGAAATAGATACCCCAAATACAGAAAAAGATTTTCTTTAGGAGGCAGCTGTCTTTTACCTGTCTGATGAAATAAGAAGGTATGTCCAAAGAGGAGCCGTCTCAGGTGCTCCCCTGAATACAGAGCCTTGCTAATTACTCATTCATCCGGGAGGTTTCTGCATTGCTGGTAGAAAAGATTCTGAGCAGCTACTGAGTGAGTCAAGAGACAGTCAACCTCAGGCTCAGCCTGGTATTTATCACAGCCACGGTTACAGAGGCAAGTTTGTGAAGCTGGCTTACAACACAGCGGGAGCATGCAAGCATTGTTGCTGGAATTGCTTCTTCCATGTTGTCTCCTAGGAAACAGACTCAATGACCCAATCTTTCCCTCCATTTCTAATTTCCGCCTTCAATGGCCAGTGATTATCTAAATGGAATTGCTCAAGTATGTCTTCAGTGCATTGAGGATGAAATAGCAGGCATAAAACATTTTTTAAGCATGAACTACCTTTTGCATAATAATCAACTATTTCATTTATTCAGTTCGTCATCTGTTACTCTTAAATAGTTCCATATGCATTGGGTTTACATTTGAGATACAAGACTGTTCAGCCATAGCTTCCATTTCGTAATGGCAGGCACATGTTTTAAACATGCTTAATATTATTGCCCTATAATGTCTTGCCACAGAGCATTCCTTCCTAAGAGTACAATGCTCTTTATGAATACCACCTCATTAATCCCGGGAAAGGCAGCCACAGTTTTTTTACTCATAGGAAACAGAACCACTGACAGATTCAGTGGGCCAAGATGATGGGCAGCTCATTAATGGCATAATCATGGATGAATTCCTCGTTCCACTCCAGCTGAAGGACTGTACACGCTGTTCCACCCAGCTGAGACCAATACATCAAGCACCAACCAATAAGCTACACACCAGTCCGTATACTTTGTATCCTGGAGGTTTTTCAATCCTTCAGAATCCACTTGAGTCACTGCCATTCCAGAAGCTACTTGTGGTACTTTATCAGGGAGGTTTTGTTCCCTGGAGGCTTGAGCTCTGTTTTCCAACCACTTTCACAAACAGTAGGTACAGTCATGGAGGCTGCATCAAAGCTGTGGGCTTCTTTCAGCATTTTTGTGGTTGTCTTGGACCTTCTTTGGGCTCTGAATGGCCTGGACACTTTGATTGAGCATAAGTTTCTACTTTTCAAATATTCAAACTAGCCATTTCATCTTAGAAATGGCTCATGACTTGGGTGGTTTTAATTAACCTTGGGTTTTCAATAAATTCTGTTTGTTAGCATTTTGCAATTCTAGAATCATGAATTAGCATATTACCTTAAGTCTTAAAATTAAATTTTAAGATGTATTTTTCAGTCTTCAATGCCCTAAAAGTTACTGTTGGTGTCAGTGATGCCAGACTTTTAGTGACTCTTTCAGGTTCTGATGAAGCTCATGATGACAACTGTCTTTTTGTAGCTTTTGGAAAAGCAAAGGAAATACAGAAAGGAAATATCTGACCTGAACTTATTTGGTGAGTAACTGTGAACTTGATATCTATGAGAAACAAGCCACATTTGCACATGTTCCAGTTATTTGCAGGTTGTTTTCTCTAAGTAGATTTTTTTGTTCAGTGAGACAAATAATTAAAAATGTCTATGTTAGACAAAAGCAATAGAGCACAATCACTTGGTCAAATTAATTTTCCTCTTATTCTCTTATCCTCAAGTAAATGATATCTGAAACATTTCTCAGTCCAATTAACCATCTGGGCCTACAAGCAGACAAAATTTTTTTTAGTCTCTTATGATAGAAGTTCTATATGCATCATTCTAAATTTATAGGCAAATTATCATTATTCTAATTGAAAAATAGAAATCATACATTTCTATAATGAATAATATGTTTTGAAATATATATACATTGCGAAGTGGCTAAATGAAACTAACTAACATATATATTATCTTACACACTTATCATTTTTTATGTTAAGACTTACAATTTATGCTCTTAGCAATTTTCAAGTATATGTTATAGAACAGAGCTCTTGAATTTACCCTCCAATTGGACTATATTTTTTGATCATCTCCCCTATTGCCCACCAACCTCCAGTCCTGACAACCATCATTCTGCTCTGTTCTATGAGTTCGACACTTTCAGAGTACACACATAAGAGATAATGCAGTGTTTGTTTTCCTGTGCTAGGCTTATTTTGCTTAACACATGTCCTCCAGGTTTATTCATGTCACAGATAACACGATTTCCTTCTTTCCTAGGTCTGACTAATATTCCATTGTACATATACACCACATTCATTCATTGGTGACATTTGGGTAGATTCTGTATCTTGGCTACAATAAACAGAGGAGGGCAGATGTTTTTCCAACACATGATTTCATTTCCTTGGGATATATACTAAATAGTGAGATTGATGGATAATATTATAGTTCCATTTTTAATTTTTTGAGGAACCTACACTCTGTTTTCCATAATGGTTGTGCTAATTTACATTCCTCCTAACAGTGCACAAATAGATTAAAAAAAAATTAAATCCATTTTTGCACTGTTAAATCCTTTTTCTCCATATCCTTATCCTATCTTCCATCTTTGTGATAATAGCCATCCTGAAAGTTGTGAGGAGATACTCATTGTGATTTTAATTTGTATTTCCCTGACAATTAGCTTTGTTTTTCATATACCTGTTGTTCACATATGTGTCTTCTTTTGAGAAATGTCTATTCAGATCCTTTATCCATTTTTTACAGTTACTTGGTTTTTTTGTTTGGGTTTTGAGGTTTGGGGGGTTTTTTGTTTTGTTTTTTGTTTTGTTTGTTGTTTTTGCTATTGAGTTTTGAGTTTTTAATATATTTTTGGATATTAATCACTTGTCAAATATGTGTTGAAAATATTTCATCCCATTCTGTAGGTTGTTTCTTCACCCTACTAATGTTTCACTTGCTATGCAGAAGTTTTTTAGTTTGATATAATTCCATTTGTCTATTTTTATTTCTGTGCATACACTTTAAGTTCATAGCAAAAATAATCGTTGTCCCAAACAACACCATAAATCTTTCCCCCTACATTTTCTTATAATATGTTACAATTTTAGTCTAATGTTTAAGTCTTTAATCCATGTTGAGTTGATTTTTACAAATGATACAAGATTATGATATGAGATAATGAAACAGTTTTCTGCATGTAACTATCCAGCACCATTTATTGAAAAAAGTTTCCTTTCCCCATTTTGTATCCTTGGCATCTTTGTCAAAAATTAATTCACAATATATGTATGTGTTTATTTCCAGGCTCTCTAATCTGTTCCATTGTTCTATGAGGCTGTTCACATGCCAGCACCTTACTGTTTTGAATACTACACCTTGTAGTACTTTTTGGAATCAGATAATGTGTCTTCATCTTTTGTTGTGTTTTCTTAACATTGCTTTGGCTATTTAGAGTGTCGTGTGGTTCCATACAAACTTTAGCTTTATTTTTCTATTTCTATAAAGAATGTCATAGTAATTTTGATAGGGATTGCATTGAATCTGTAGATAGCTCTAGGAAATATGAACATTTTAATAGTATTAATTTTTTAAATCCATGAATATAGAATATCTTTCCATTTCTTTATATCTTCTTCAAAAGTCTTTCATTAATGTTCTATAATTTTCAGTGTACAAGTCTTTTGGCTCTTTGGATAAATTTATTTCTAAGTATTTCATTTATTTTGTGTATTATAACTGGGGTTTGTTTTCTAGATTTCTTGTTCTTTGTTAGTGTATAGAAATGCTAAATATTTTTGTGAATTGATTTTGTTTCCTACAACTTCACTGAATTCATTTACTAGTTCCAATAGTTTTTTGTTGAGGTCCTTAAGTTTTTCTATATATAAGGTCCTTTTCTTACCTAATTGCTCTGGCTAGGATATCTAGGACTATGTTGAATGGAAGTAGCAAGAGTGAACATGCTCATTTGTCCCTGATTTTAAAGGAACATATTTCCATTTTTCACCAGTGAGTTGGATTCTAGCCATGGGCTTGTTTTGTATGGCTTATATTGTGTTGAAGTATATTTCTTCTATTCCTAATTTTCTGAGCCTTTTTATCATAAAAAGCCTTGATACTGAAGTTTGTCCAATTTTTTTCTACATCTATTGAGATAATCAAATGGTTTTTGTCCATTCTGTTGATGGGACATATTACATTTATTGATTTGTGTATGCTGAATCATCCTTGTCTCCCAGGGATAAATCCCACTTGATCATGGTGAAAGATGTTTTTAATGTGCTGCTAAGTTTGATTTGCTAGTATTTTGTAGGAGATTTTTGCATCTATATGCATCAGGTATTGGCCAGGGCTTTCACTTATTGATGGGACTTGTTTGGTTTTTGGTAGCAGGATAATGTTGGACTCATAAAATGAGTTTGGACATATTCCCTCCTCTTCAATTTTTTTTTGTAAAAGTTTAGGAAGAATTGGCATAAGTTGCTCTTAAATGTTTGGTAGCATTTAGCAGTGAAACTATCAGGTCCTGAGATATTCTTATTGGAATGTTTCATTTTTATGACATTATCTTTGAGCTGTGAAGGAATCACTTGAGGTTAGTGCCTGAATTCCAGTACTTCAATGTTGTACACCAGTTCTCATCCAAATCTTCTGCATATACTCTAATCTTTAAAGATACTAATCTAAAACTAAGGAGGCAATCTAGAGATTGAGGTGAACTCTATCATTTGCAAATACTTGCTTGCTTACAGAAAACAGAAACAAATCAAACTCTGTGTTCAGGTCTTTCTCCAAGAGTCTTTAAGTTCATTAGTCCCAGAATTATCAGCTGACTGTGGCATTGGCCTAGAACACCAAGTTGCCAAGGCCAGTACATGTTGACCTTTTTAGAAGTCTCTTTGGGGGGAGTCAGCTAAATGTCATCAGGAAAAGGATTCACTTCAGCCTTCTTCCTCCTCACAGTTTCCTCTTTCCATGCTCAGAAGGGTTGCATATTGAAGGCAATCATGCTCAGGTCTTGTTTATTTCCATAAAGGACAGGGATTTCCTAAAAATTTGCTACCAGATTTCTGACACATAAAATTTGCAAAAGTAAAACAATAATCTTACATTCACTATGTATAATGAGGCTTCTAATATGAATTCTTAGGAAAAGGAAATCTATGACTTAATGTAAATACCTGGCATGAGAGGTAGGGGAATGGGGCTAAGAAAACAGGTTTAGGCCTCACTTCTGCCACTTTCCCTATGTGTATTTCTGAACAGACTAAATATCCT